TTTGATGTTTATAAAACCATTTTATTGATTTTTTTTGTGTGCTGTTGATCTTCCCAATACAGAATTTGAAATGTCACCTGCTTGAGTGAAGTTTTCAAGTTTTGGCGTATACATGTATAACTAAAGGTAATTTTCATTTAAAAATTGAGTATTTTTTAACATGCAAAAGCCTACCGTATGTGACATTGAATCATTAGAATTTGAGGTTTCGCCCGAAAAAGCCAGGGAGTTCAAGTCTAGTTTGAGGCGCCCTTGGAAGAAGCTGCTACTGCCCTTTCTTACTTGATAAAATAATCTTGGGTAGAGTATATGTAAAAAAAATTATGCTTAAACTATCCCTCACTGTTTTAAATATTGCAATTAATTTCTTTTTTGCATATATCACAAGTGTTTGAGCTGTCATTGTTTAGGTTATACTGTCGTGACTACGGCAGCGTTATCAAAGTATACCTGGGCGATCGATAATTATTTAGCAGCGAGTGTTATCGTCCGTAACTTGTTACGTCATCAGACACCTTTCCACTTCGGAAACTGAGAGCGAGCACAGAAGTTTACTTTGTGTACAGTTCAATTAGAGATAAATTATAGTGCACTGCGCTGCAATAAACTGCACTGTTAAATCGGGACAGGGGTTACATGTAAGTATATTTCTCTTCCCAAAAGACAGTAAGTTCCGAAAGATTTGGATTTCGAAAGTGAAGGGAAACAAATTTAGTCCACGTGAACGTCGCTTCACCAGGGATCAGTTTACGATCAACCACGAGTTATCTTCGCCCATTTGTTGCTTAAGGAACTCGCTGTGTGCGTTGTCAGGCTGCCCCGAATCATCATCAGGTGACAATACCTGAGGGTCTTCTCTTGCTTTATCGAAGTGGGTTATTTACTGTTACAAAAGAGTCTGTAAATTTCAAAACGTGTCAAAATCAACGAATAGTCTTGGTACTCATTGGTACAAGACCTCTACGCGGTGTTCACACCAGTTGCACCGGACTGAAACGCTGAAGAAATATACGAAACCTTATGTACGAGGGGTGATCAAAATTTCGCGCACTATCTCTATATCTACAAAACCAGAATTCAGATTAGAATAAAATTTGATACATATAGCCATACACAAGTTCTATAAATAGCATTTGTTGAAGAAAGTTTTACTCCTTGGTTGTGACGTCACAGTATGAAAATGACGTCACTATGTAGGTAACTTGTGACGAATAATGTTTTTTTCAGTCGTACTCATACCTTAGAAAGCCCTTTGCCGTAGCATATAATAATTTGTACACAGTTTATTAAGATAAATGACCTCCTATAAATCCAATCGAATTGATCGTTTTAGTGAAGGAAGGCAGATGGTTAAAAATGATACAGGTCATGTTGCCCTGTGAAAGCAAGTTGAAAAGATATGTGATTTTAATTAATCAATTTGCTATTAAAGACCTCCAATTTACACTTTGAAAAATAGTTGAATATTTGAACAATAATATAATTATTAAATACCTAAGATATCGTTTACTTAAAATGATAAAAAGGAGGCACCCATTCTCTATCCACCTTGAATCAATGCCTCTCCCGAGGCAGAATATTTGTGTTTTAATGGTCGCCATGCTTGTTTTTGGAAAGGATATTCTTATCCACCCATTCTGTTGCCGAGATTTGACCATTTCTGAAAAATGAACTGTTCTTGTTATGAAAATTAACTTACATGGAAAGAAATATAAAACTCTTTCAGCTTTTGTCACAGCACGCTATGGAGGGGGTCGCGTGAACGCCAATATCACATGATTCGCGCATGCGCAGAACGGTGGCTGGTGTTCATTAAAATTGGAGAGGACTAACTTAAAATGTAATCAGCACTAAAAACAAATATTGTTTCTTTTATGGAAGTTATTCAATTAGTTTGCGAACTTTTTGATCACCCCTCGTAATTTACCTCGTGTAATTTTAAAAATACGGAGTAAATTTTTGTTAAAGATGCAAGGATCCGTGCAAAAACGCGTGAATGTGTGTATTGATAAAGGGAGATTTAAAATGTTAATCATATCAAGATTTTTTTCTCCGAGTAGTCGGTCACAAATCACAGCATATTGTAAGTTTCTCTGCTATAGCAATATGCCGACTCCTAACCTTGGCTTGAGATAAAGACTAAGTAAAACACCTTTGTTAACATATACAGATATAGGGTGTGTTGCAAATGACTTTAAAAATTTACTCACTCTGAAGATTATTTCTAAGATCTTTATATGTGCACGGTTTTTGTCAATGTTTTTGCAAATATTACCGGTAGGTATGCTTGATAAATATTTGAACCTAGTTGAATGACTTACGGGTGATTACGTCACTTCAGGATATAAGATATAGGCATCTTGTTCCCAAAAAGTTCTCGTAAATGATTGAATACTGTTTAACGTCCCTCTCGAGAATTTTTCACTCAATGGAGACGCCAACACTTACCAGTGGAGAGCTGCAACATTTTCTCCTAGACTCGGCACTCAGGGCCATTGAGCAGGGAGGGATCATTTTCGTCCCAGCACCTACTGCGACACGGGACCTCGGTTTATACGGTCCCACCTTACTCCACACGAGGTAAACAAGTCGAATTTTGTTGGATTCCGAATTACATTGGTATTCCGGGTCATAGCAGGGCCAATAGTTCTGCAAAAAACTGCTCTTTAATCTGAAATTGTACCTTCTAATATTCCATAGACGGATCTTAAATACTTAATATGCGTGTGTATGTTGTCTAACGTCCCTCTCGGGAATTTTTCACTCATAAATGTATGAAGACGCCACCACTTGCCGGTGGAGAACTGCAAAGTTCTTTTGTGCTGTACTCGGCACTAATTATAAGTGCCATTGAGCAGGGAGGGATCTTTTTCATGCCAGCACCTACCACGACACGGGACTGCGGTTTATACGGTCTCATCCGAAGGGCCGGTCTCCACGTTCCATATTGAGATTCGAACTCGAGACGTAAGGATTAACTCCTTCGCGACTCTAGAGTGAACGCTTTAACCACTGCACTAGGTGGGCGATTCTCTATAGCAATGATTTTTGGATTTTGTGATAATCGTAAATTGTATACCATACAAAACAAAGTTAATCATCTGACTTTGGATTAAAACGTCAGGACGAAGTAAATATTTCAAGAGTAAGAATCGAACATTCAAGGTTTACCTATTCATATTTACTAAGCGGTGAACATCAACCAAAATGCATAATTATCCTCTTGTGACTGTGTTATTACTATATACCATATATTTTATAATTTTTCTGACTTTACGCCTGATTGAACTTAACTTTTTACTGATGTGCAAACAGTGCGTGATCTTTTTACAAATTATGCAAGTCCTTGTACAATTTTAAAATTATACTTATACAAGAAACTGAATTTCAAAATAATTTAGCACTTTTGCAATTTTCAATTAAACTGTTTTTAATATTTAATTCAATGTCTGTCGGATGGAACGTATAAGGGTGCCCCATGTCAAGGATTACAACTCTTTCGACACGCAAAATATCGTTTCTCTGGTTTTCGAGAAGAGTAGGCTCATTGGGGGCCGCCAGAGAAACCCAAAAAAAATTTCAAAACCGTTCATAGAGTATTTAAACTCATACCTCCGAAATATGGCTGAAATATTGCCGACTCGGCGTAAAACAACAATAATCAATCAATTGATTAAACATTAGAGATGAGATCAGCTGCAATAAAGGAGTGAACATCCCCTGGCGATCGGTCACACGCGCCATTATTATATGAAGCGTTGCATAATATATTCTTGCAGATAATACATAATTTCATATAAATTTTTAGTAAATATTTCATGTTGAAAAGGTCAGTTAATTTACGCAGAGCTTCGATAGATATGCTACAGTACCAACATCGTCAGGTCATGCCCATACACGGGTTTTCCTTGTCATAAAACTAGCAACTGTTGAATTCGAATTAAAACGGCTCCACGTTTCTAAAAGTATGCGATAACTGGAAATCGTTTAAGAGGCATCTTGATAAAATTTTATGAAGGCACAACTTTTTTTTACCATTACTTGGTTTTACAACTAAATGTACTGGAATACTAGTCGGTAGTTGGACAGGCGCAAATGCGGTGATAGATTTAATTTATTTAGAGTGATGAATTACTTTTAGCATAGAAATACTCAATCACTTGTGTGCATGAAAATCTCTGTATGTGTTAATATGGATACATATGTCCTTAACCGGACATCACTAAATTTGTTCGAATTGTCAAAGTTGTTTCAAACAAGTCACTTTGCAACATAACAATTTTAGTGATTATGCCAGTCATCACTGAAATAATAATCTCTTCTCTTTCTGTATGGATCTTGTATACAAAGTGCTGTATTTGTCAAAATTTTCATGTTGATTTCCCTGATCTGTAGATAAAAATAAAAATATATTAAAATGTGCTTTGAAACATTATGAACAATCATAATAGGGGAGGGGGGAGGGGCAACAGTCATAATTGCAATTCCTGAAACGAGATTGGTTCAGACCATCGGACTTTAGCAATCTACAATATTTGCATACTTCAGATAAATCCTAATCATTATCACTTTCCCAATCATTATCAATACCTGATAAATGCTCCATATAGCTTAAGCCCCCTTACTTCCGATGATACATTAATTTATTTCATTTTACATAAATTTAGCTTACGAAAAGGAGTAGATTCCAATTAATTTTAAAACAAATAAATATAAATCCTTAATCAGCAAGTTCAAAGGAAGAGGTTTTCTTTTAACCCCAATACAAATAATCTCGTTTATTAACTACGTAATTTTGTCATATCTAGTGCATTGTAAATAGTATGACTAGATGGAAACTGCATGCGCATCCCAAAAAACCACACGACGCACGCGTTTTTCACATATGCATAGGATGGTATCAAAGCCCGCTGTGTGGTAAACTCGACGTGCTTAATTCACCTCCCACATAAACACTTGAAAGAATTCAAAACAATTAAGGTATGACGAGATGTCCATCACTCAGACAAGCACGACTGATCGCTTCTGCATACTTCGTATTTAAAAGGTGTCAATCGTGGACAAGTAGCATACCAAAGACAGGTTGCGATGGCGAAAGTACACAATACGAAAAGCTTTATTCTGCATCTTGCAGGTATGAATATACACATGCATGTCACTTATTCATAACCCAATATGGTATAAAATTTGTTCCAATATCACTAATTTTCTTTACAGCGAGATAAATTCTGAATATTTTTTATTTATTTTGCAGTCATGGTTGTTGTAATAATAGGCACAATAGATGCTGAAAAATGTAAGTAAAAAACTCTAAAATTGAAAAATAACTCTATATATAATTATAAATCATGAAGTAAATCAAAGTTCTAGTGCATGTATTTTGATTTTAAGATACAAATGAAATTATAGAAATATTCGATAGGTAATTATAAACTAGATTTAAAAATGAATAACGAGTGATGATTATTCATAATTTAAATTACCAAAAAAAAAAAGTTTTAGGGGTATCAAAGGGTTGTGTTTCATTCATTTTATTTTTAATTCATTTTAATCAAACTTTTTAAAAAATCAATATTTATAAAGGACTTTACAGTGTTCTCGCCTTGTACGCCTCCATTCTTTAAAAAAAAATTATTTTTCAGGTCAGAGTGGTCGAATCAGTGCATACAGCTACCCAGTGGAGCCATTTTACCCTGTTACAGAGACAGTAATTTTTGACCCTCCATTTAGTGACACCCCCTCAGTAATGTACGCTCTCAATTTCATTGATGTAAACTATGCCGAAAACTTCCGAGTGAATAGTTCCCTCCTGTATGTCGATAAATATCAAGCTCAACTCCAGATGTCGACGTGGCATGACACCAAACTCTATGGAATTGGTCTTTCTTGGATGGCCTGTCCTTAAAAAATGGGTGATTAGACGCAATGTGTATTTCCGGTTTATTTTACCTCAATCCACTTTAGTAACGGGTGTGCTTGCTGTTTATTTATTTATTTTGTTTAATTACCTTTTGATTATTTAAATTATTGTTATTTTTATGAATTTTATAAGCATTAACTTTATATATTTTAGTATTTATTTTTATATATATTGATTATACATTCATAACTCGTGTTTTGCCATAATGTTAATAATCATTGTTTTGCCATTTTCATGCACGTACGCAATGTACAATGTTTAAAACATTTTGCATTTGAGTTATCATCATGATAATTTTTTTGCACTTATTTACTCGCTCAAAATCGTTTACTTTACATGTATATTAATATTTTGAAAATGAAATGACTAGAATTGATTAAAATTAAAAATCATGGAATGTGTGTATTGTACAAAAAATCGAAAGCAGACATATTTTTGGATTGAAAATGCAGTAATAAAATAAAAACAACAAGATGTGTATGTGAAACATTGATGGCAGCTTATGAGATGAAATTTTTGTACATGTATATATATTTGTTTTAAAAACCCATATATTTGTAATGCATCAATAAAAAATAAAGAAAAATGAAAAAAAGAATTAAATATTTTAAAAGAATAGAATAAATGTATGAAGAAAAGATATATAGTTCTTTTTTTAATGTATATCAATAAGCTACGAGAACAAATGATGATAATTTAAAAAAGAATTAAATAAAAGTCATTTTTAAAGTGTAGAACTCTTAGCAACATAAATGTGTTTTTAGGACCTACGACGTGGAAGTGGTTCTAACATAGCATGATACTAAAACCTATTCTCAATATTACAATGTAGCATAACACAACACCAAGCACATTCCTGGACATATCCGTCTGGCGGGGGAGGAATAAGCCAGATACTTATGATCCTATTCTGATAATTCTCAGATTTTTATTACTATGGAATGGAAGTTGTTTTAAATTGCATTTCTGACTCGTTTCACTTGACCACGTTTTTTGCAATGCGGGCAGTGGAAGGAATGGTAATTGATCCATCTGTCAATGATTGTGTATTTGATGGTGGATGAATTTTACAAAAAAAAATTATTTATTTTTTCTCTGTTCCTCACTCACAGGAAGCCAAGCCTCAAGGGGAACAAAAAGATGTTTAGCATCGGACGAAGTTAAAAATTTCCTCTGTCATGGAGTGCCCCTCTGGCATCCATTAATTGACAAACCTGGATTTCCTGTAGGCGGTCAATTAACTCAGGCAATTTGAAGTACGCCAGTCACCAATAACCTTTATTTTGCTGTTCATTGCCTCACAGAAATTATTTTATCAAAGAAAGGTGAGTAAAAAATAGAATTTTTCAGTCTTGGTGAAAAACTTTCTCTGACAAGGTTAGAAGTAATTCAAGTACTGAAAAGCTGAATTGTCTCGATTTTTTCAAAAAATTTCTTGCTGCTTTTCCATGTACATGAGTTTTGAATTGGAACAAAGAAGATATAACTTGAAAAATGGTGTTTAAGATGGCATTTCGGGGGGGGGGGATTAAACTTTGTGAAGTTTCTCATAGCATTTTCTTGCAAGAGTTTTTTATTGCATTTATCAATGTACATGTAAGTTCCTCATCGGTACCAAATGTCAGGTTTTCAACTTGGAAATCAATCCCCAAAGCAGAGCGAATTTTTGAAAGGAAGTCACAATAAGTTGTAATTGTTCCATCCCAATCTAAATATACTGGCCCTAACATGACTCCATTTTCTTTCCAAATTTTGTTTTGTGTAAACCATTGTCATCACATACTGTAAACGTATTACACTTGGCTGTGTATTCTATTTAGCGCTTTTGGCGGAGAGAAACTTCCGCTAATTCAAGCACAACGCTAAATGTCTTGCACACATAGACATAAATAAGAACATTGAGAAATGCGTTTAATCAGATTTTCTCTAATTTGTTCAAAAACCAATTTCCGCCAAATATCGTATACGCTAAATATAATACATTTACTGTAACAAGCACCTAAATTAAAGGTCTGTCTACCCCATTTACTGATCCATTTGAGTCACATTCACTCATCTCTATCAATTGTTCATCTTAAACAACAGATATCTGGTGATTTTCCATCATTGTTTGCAATTATTCATCTTATGAATTTATCTGACTGCAATTATTAATTTATCAGAACTTGGAAATCATCTGAATTGACTTTTTTGAAGGTCTAATTTTGGTTTTTGACTTCTTTCACTCCGGTATTTCTCGTTTTAAATGACCTTTAGGTCAACAGGGTTTTCCGTGTCATTTGTATTAAAATGCCTGATAATTTGAATTGGTAGTTTGCCATGCTTAATACCTTCCCTAATAATTTTCTAAGACTGCTCTGTATTTTCTGCATTGCCATGAGACAAACAACCTTTCCATTCCCTCAGATACTCTATAACGGAAACATTTTTAAAATTTTTGCTCTTCCCCTGGAATGTTTGCAAACCACGTAATGCGTCTTTTTTGTCCGGTGTCTTTGTTGATTTTGAATATCTCTTCATGACAAATATATCTGAGGGATTGGGTTGTGGTTCTAGAGAAACTTATTTTCTCTTTTCATTCTTACAGTAAATTCCTTTCTTTTTTTCAAAGGAATTGCCGTTCAAAACATACTCTACGGTTTTCAGTGAATTTCCTGACCATGCCCTACAATCATCAACTTACTTGCTCTTCTGATTTTCACTCCTATCCCTAAAATTATTTGCCAAAATGAAGAAAACATTTTTCTTCGGTCCTTCTGGAATTTTTGTTAAGTATTCGAGTTCTAGGCAGATACCAACTCTGAAAGCTTTTCATTATAGAATAATTTCCCTTTGTGGAGCATTATGCTCGGAATTGCTGTATGGGACATCTAAAACCATAATATATTATCACTTATTCTGCTTAATGTCAGGTGACAAATCAGACTGATCATTGGGTGAACTGTTGTTGATATCAGAAAAGCCTGTTGCTTCTGCCTCGATGTTTCAGAAGTAGAGATTTTGTTTAAATCTACCGAGTATCTCGAACAAGCACTGCTATCGAGAGAGGGAGTGTGAGTCATAACCAAGACAGTGTATGTATGGTTAAGCATAGACCCAGGCTTGGTTGGTGACAATTCAGGAGTGGTTGAGGAGTTTATATCAGAGATCAGTGTGGTAGAGGACAACTAGTTGGTTCTGTCTCAGTACATTTGTGTCAAATGGTCCAGGAGAACAAGCACTACTATTGAACAAAGGAAGCGAGTCCAATAATCCAGAGGCAATGACTGACAATGAGAAAGTGTGGTCAAGCTAAGATGCATGGTTGGTTGATGACAAATCTAAACTTAGAACATGCGTTTGAAAGTGGCCGAAGGTCCAATGGCTGATATGTGGCACGAGGGCTGATATGGCATATCATATGAATTTCAGTATGTAGTATTCTATTTATCATACATTTAAAATACTTAATATGCGAGTTAACATAAAGTTATCGAAGAATGTTTAGTGCATATTTATGACCTTTTTCTTTAAAATCTAATACAGCCACTTTGGGTAATTGAAAAGAAATTAAGTCTACAAATGCCATTAAAGAAATATTTAACAAGTATATCTAAATAAGATTAAGTAAATTAACTCTCAAATTTTATAAAAACGTTACTTACGGTTTGATATGGATTTTTGCACGCCAGTTCGATACGTAATACGGATTTTCGGACCTGTCCTTGACATGGGGTATTGTGACGTCACGCGTATTGCACAGTGCAGAAATTTTGTTTGTATTTACTACTAAGTATATGAAAGATTAGTACTTACCAGCAAATTTTTACTGAATTGTTTGAAAGAAAGACTAACCATTCTGACATTAATGACGAATGTTTTAATTCGCAATCTCCAGCTACATGAGCCCTCCTTTGTACGTTTTTGTGCTGCGACCAAAGAACTCGATGTAATTCCCACTTTGATGATCTACAGTTGAAAACTGATCACACTACAGCAGGTGGTGCTCTCGTCTTGTCCTCTCAGGGCAAATAGCTTACATGCATAAAAAAACTCAGTATTCTGTGATGCTCCCGAATTTGAGTTTCCAAAGACACCTTTCTCCAAAAGCACTTCCTCGTCTTCAGGTAAAATGGCCTGTGCCTTCTTGACCCTTAGTGTAATTGAATTAAAATAAAAAAAAAATAATATACTAGCATAAACATGAAAATAGATTATCCCCCCCCCCCATCAAATGGTCGTCCCCTTTACAAATTTCAACAAAGCTAAAATTGTTCTTGACAGATCTTGTTCACAAGTATATTAAAAATTTTAAAAAAGCTTTTAAACAATCGTGTGTCAGCATGTATGAAAACAGGCAAGGATCTAAGACTAAAATTGAAACACTATTTTTCACAATTAAAACACAGGTAATTGTGGACAGGACCCCCCCCCCCTCGATATTCAACCCCGGGGCTCATTGGACATTTTTGTCACAAATTATATTTATTACACTTATTCTTCATGTGTACAATATGAAAAAAGCGTCAAAACCCCAAAACAAACGCTCCTCAAAAAAAAAAAAACACTATACATTATAAGGAAGAAAGGTATGCCACTCCGGTTTGTTTACGTTGTACCCCCACTGGTCTTTCTGGGTTTAAATACATGTATTTATTTTATTTCAACCTAAAATGTCGATTCACATCGTCCCCACATATATTTTTGTCTCAGTCCATGCTATCGAATTAACTCTGCATCTCTTAAGAATCCCACAATATCTCCTTAGACAGTATTCCAGTCAGAACGTTGAAATTTCCTTAGGTAATCGCAACGGAAGTGCATAGAGAATGTTTCACTTATTAGGATAACGTCCGATAGAGTTTTGGCCTGACGTAATAATCTCTCTCGGGTGTTATCATACATTCAAGACACATATTAATAATGTAATCAGTTATACAGAATATTGCTAGGACAGGTCTGGGTCATTTGCCCACCCTTAGTAACTATAGTAATGAGGTAACAGCAGTTACGCTGCAAGTACATACCAACACTCAAGATGATCATTATATCATTCACTGGATAG